ATCATTATTCATTCTATTTAACTATTTATCTTTTTAATTTATATTATGATGAAGCCTATCTTGACCAAAAATCAGTAGGAATCTGTTCTCTTTTTCGATGTGCTCTTCGTAAATCTCTCATAACATCTAGGCAAGTTTTTTAATTTAACTGCGCACTACCCACTGTTTTAAACCAGTAACAGTGATTCTATACTTACTGAAACAACTGCAAAAAAGATCTTCTTTCACCTTTTCAGCAATCTGCTGAATTTGTAAAGAGCTTTCCTCTTCTCTTAACAAACTGGGATTTTTATCCCTCTCTTCCTCAGTTAGAGGAGGAGGAGGTACCCCAAGAGGTGCAAGCCCTCCTGATTCTGGGGAAGCGGCAGTAGCCAAGATGAATTATCATCACCCAACTCATATCCCCTATGCTCATCCTGTTGCCTGGGGCTCTGTTGCTCACAATCAGTGTCTGCTTCCAACTGTAAGGGTTGCAGAGCAAAGGAAGTTAAACTACACAATGACCAGACATGTATGGGAATAGGGTCCTCCTGTGTGATGTGCCCTTCTGAGGGCTCTCATGACCTATTTCCACACCTTCAAATTTCCCAAAGAGTGTGTCTTCTTACCACAGAGAAGGAATCCTTAAAAGTAGACTTCTTCACATCCACCCAAGAGCCTTAATAAAGCCTAATAAAGCTCTTAAAAGTTTACTGTACTTAGTCTCTGTGGATGGGGAATGCCCAATGGTTTCCTCATGTTCTGCTTCCAAGCTTTTAAAGAGTTTATGAAACCTCAAAAGATAAGGGAAAACCTCACGAAACCTTTTCTACTTCTTCTCTGGATTTCTACCAAAATTCAGGGTGTGAGGAATTTCTCATGACTTCACCCTATCCCAAAAAGATCGCTTACTCTGGGTATACATGCTACTTTCATTCTCTTCATGCTGCACTAGTTTACTTACCTTTTGCCCCACATTGGGCACCATTATGAAGTTTTACAGTGTTCTGTGATCACAGGTCACAGAAAATAGAGATTCACAAGAGAT